ACAACAACAAGCAACAACAACAACTTAAAAAAAATCTATGAACTCATTCAGAATTTTCTGTTTAAAAAGTTTAGTTTTGATTTCTGGCAATATGGCAAATGAGGCAGACAGGCTACACAGACCCTCTACAACAAATACAAGAGAACAAATAAAACAGACACAGATTTTAATTGTGGAACTCTGAGCTTTAGAGGAAGAGATAGAGAAGTGAATTGAACACTGACTAGGAGAAGAAGTTGAACAGGTGCAGCAAAAAAGGAGCCAACGTATCAACTCTACACTGTCCTGATTTGGCACATCCATCTTGAACTTTTTCAAGCAGCATTGTATCTAAACAGTAGCTTGAGAGTGCGAACACATACCAACGGCTAGCGACAAAAAAAGATGTGAGTCTCTCGTGTTCCCCACCCTCCTTTGATGGCCATCTCCCACCATCACCACTCAGCAAAGTCCCTGCTCTGCCAGATAACAGAGCTGCATCTCTGTGAATGACACCATTGTGAGCTGAGCAGAAGATGCACCATCCCAGAGCCTGAAGGAGGGTGAACTCAGTTTTCTCAGACCTGCAGAATTTGTAGAGCCAGTCCCGGATGAGCAAGAACTCTTATTATCAGCTGTATTGAACCCAGCTACCCTCTGGGTCTGAAGAGTTCTTTCTGGGAACAAAAACTTTCACCTCAACAATCATTATGGGACCTGCACAGCTACTTCCAGTTTGGGTGACTTAACAGAGACAGCACCAAATTTTAAAGGAACTCCACATAGGGCCAGAAACCAACCTCTCATCATGCCCTCTTCTACTTGTGGGCAACATGAATGTCCCCCCACAGTGGGCAACTGGAGCCCCCGACAATTTTCTCCTTTGCCTATTTTTTTCCTTTCCTTTTTAGAAACTTTTTTCTCTTTCCTGTTTTTCCATTCCTTTGTTTTCATTTCTTTCTCCATGTACCCTTTTTCTTCTTTCCTTCTTTTTCACTTTTCCTCCTTTTTTCTCTTTCATTTTTTAAATTACTATTCTCTTTTCTTTCCTTTCCCTAATTTTGTATAATGTTTTACTTTCTTTTTACACACTCTCATATTTTTTCTTCCCATTTTATTTTTATTTCTCCTTTTTTTATTCCTAGTTATTATATTCTTTTATCTTGCTGCCTAGTTTTTTCCTTTATTGCTTTATTTTTTGGATTTTTTTTTTCTTGTATGTGTGTGTGGCATCTTCTTACTCCACCAAACTGGAGATAGCAACTCTGCCCATACCGCCAAGTCACAGCATACACTCTGCAGCCCTACCTACTGGGAAAGAATCTCTATCAAATCCTATACCTCCTGATCAATGATAGGCTACAATGAACACCAGCCAAACCCACCTTGAACTGAGCTTCATGATTAGTGAATGGAGACCTGTGCACATGCTTCCATGCTCTTATAACAACCACTAGGAGACAGGTGTTGAGTACCTAAGAACAGAACATTGTATGTTGTTTTTAAGTGCCGTCAAGTCTGTTCCAACCCATATATAAGGTTTCCAAGGAGCACCTGGTGAGCTTGAACCACCAACCTTGTAGTTCAAATGGTTTTGCAGTCTGGTGCGTTAACTCATAGTGCCACAGCAGGACTCCCAATAATCAATTAAATACAAATACACCAAGGTTTGAAGGCTTGCTGATCAGAACTTGACTAGAGGAAGATAAAGAAATTTGATAAAGGAAGCAAGTATAAATTGCTACAATTTGATGAATTTGACCTATGCTTTTGGATGTAGTAGCCAAAATACCAACAGAGAGGATCAAACCTATACCCTCTGTACACAGACACAAGATGGATGGCTTATAACTTTTCAATAGGAAGTTTTGTTTCAGAGCATGCGGGGGAAGATAGAATCCCCACTGATTAGTTTTCATCTTGTCTAAATGGGTCTGGTGAAAGGAAATGGAGATAGAATTCATTTGACTCAATGTTGTTGTTGTGAAGTGCCACTGAGTTGGTTCTGACCCATAGTGACCCTGTAAAGGGTTTCTGAGGAGCAGCTGGTGAGCTTGAACTGTCAACCTTGTGATTCAAACAGCTTTGCACTCTGGCACATTAATCCATAGTGCCACACCAGTACTTCATTTGATTCAATAGTGAGTAATTATTATCATGACTAATTGTGATTGTCACAACTGTAAAGATAGAAGTTGTGTACCCAAAAGGGAGGAGTGGTTAATCTTACATTCCAGGAACAGAAGAATTTAGGACCATCAAGAGAAAAGAGCATGAACAGAACATTGTACTTTAACCAGAGAAGCAGCAACACCAGAGATGGAGGCAGAGGTGATGGCATGGAGAAATAGAGCAACTGAAGACAAAACTCATGGAAAGGAAAAGGCTGCGTGCTGTCCACCAGGAGGCTGGCTTCCATCATTAAATAAAGGTCCCAAAGGCTTTGTTTCATTCACGTCATTATGGTCAAGTCTACTTTGAGGAGGCAGTTCTTCCCCAGCTGTATTTTTAGTGTCTTCCAATCTGAGGGGCTCATCTCCTGAAACTTTATCTGACAGTGTTGTTGTTGTTGTTGTTAGGTGCCATTGAGTCAGTACCGACTCATAGCAACCCTATGCACAACAGAACAAAACACTGCCATTCCTGGGCCAACCTCACAATTGTTGCCACGCCTGTGAGCCCATTGATACAACCATTATGCCATGGATCCATATAGAAGGATCTTCATCAGTAAGTATTTGAAGTCCTCTTCACTTCCAGCAATCAAGGTTATATCATCTGCATATCACAGGTTGTTAATGAGTCTTCCTCCAATCCTGATGTCACATTTTTCTTCATATAACCCAACTTCTTGGATTATTTGTTCAGTATACAGATTGAATAAGTATGGTAAATGAATACAACCTTGTCACACACCTTTCTTTATTTTAAACCATTCAGTGTTCCTATGTTCTATTTGAACAACTGCCTCTTGGTTCAAGTACAGATTCCTCATGAGCACAATTAGGTGCTCAGGAATAGTCATACTTCACTCTTCCCCAGTCGCATTTTAAATGCCTTCCAACCTGAAGGGCTCATTTTTTGGCACTATATCTGACAGTGTTTCTCTGTTGTTCATAAGGTTTCCAGAGACTAAATATTTGGAAGTAGTTCATCACTCCTACTTCCTAGTCTGTTTTTGTCTGGAAGCTCATCTGAAACCTGTCCGTAATGGATGACCCTGCTGGTATTTAAAATACCCGTGGCATAGCTTCCAGAATCACAGCAGATCACAAGCCGCCACAGTATGACAAACTGACAGACGATTGGTGGTTTTTTTTTTTTTTTTTACGTTAAGTTATAACAAAAAATTCTATACCTTGAAATCACTAAAGAAAAAAAGCTAGTGTGTATATGCAGTTAGCCCCCAACTTATGACAGGCTTGAATTCTGAACTTTCCATTGCAAGTTGGTTCATGTCCCTTTTCATTTTCATTATTATTGCCTTTTATTATAAGCATCTTAAATATTCTGATCTTTAAACATGTACAGGTGAACTTCTAAGAATGATAAAATAATAAAATTATGTGCTTCTGCACTGTAGTCAGTACGTTAATAACAATAAGATAAAAAAGTAAATAAAAACAAAAACAGTAAATGTGGATTGTTGTAACTGAAACACAGTCTGACACATACCACATTATAGATGAACCATGAAATAATTATACTGAGTGAAATTAATCAATCAGAAAAGGGCAAATGTGTTATGATTTCACTAATATGAAATACCTATAGTGGGCCGAAGGTTCACAGTGGCTCTGTAGGGTAAGCACTGGACTGCGAACCACAAAGTTGTCAGCTGGAACCCATCAGTCCTACTGCAAGATTAAGATGAGGCTTTCTGCTCCTTCCAAGATTTACAGCTTTGGAAACTATATACAGGGGTTCTATCAGTTGGCAGTAACTGGACGGCACTTTACAACAAAATAGATAAATATACAGATTAGAGTTTAATAGTTGCTGCCAATCGCAGGAGAGATGGGGTATGAGGGAAATGGTTGTGTCAGCAGCATTTAATCTTTGTGGGAATGGAAAAGTTTTTGCAAGGAAAACTGATAATGATTGCACAAGATGATTGATTTAATTGGTTTTATTGATTGTGAAAAATGTTGAATTAGCAAATATTGTGTTCTCTATAGTATTACAATAACAAAAATAAAATAAATAAAGGAATTAATTCATTTTTAACAGTGTAAGGATGTTTTCTACATGGTAAACTCTCAGTACAAGAGAAGAAATAACACAAAACTAAACCAAACTCATGACCACCAAGTCAATTCCAACTTACAGTCATCCAATGTAGGGTTTCTGTGTCCTGGTGCAGCACTGTGGGTTAATGCGCTGGACTACAAGATGGGATTGAACTGCAAGGTCAGGGGTTCAAGCTCACGAGCCTCTCCTTGGAAACCCTATAGAGGGTTGCTATGAGTTGGAATTGATTCAATGGCACTTAACACCAACATTCTTGGGAGTGCTGGTGTGGCTTTGTGGGTTAATGCACTGGACTGCAAATTTGAACTGCAAGTTTGGTGGTTCAAGTATACCAGCTGCTACTTGGAAACTCTATACAGGGTTGCTATGGGCCGGAACCAACTTGATAGCACTTAAAAACAACAACAACATTTTCTGGAGCAGAAAGCCTCATTTTTCTCTTGCTGAGTGACTGGTGGGTTTGACTGCCAACTTTGTGGTTAACAGTCCATTGCTTACCCTACAGCTCTACAAGACTCTGAGAAGCAATAATAAAAGTAATTTCATGAACTTTCTTTGCTCCTATTTCACTGCCCTGTTGTTGTTAAGTGCCAGCAAGTCTATTCCGACCCATAACAGCCCTGTATAGGGTGTCCAAAGATCAGCTGGTGAGCTTGAACCACTGACCTTGCAGTTCAAATGATTTTACAGTCTGACACATTAGCTCACAGCGTCACACCAGGCCTCCCACTGTCCTGTAGTAATGTCCTAATTTTTGCTTCCTTCTTCAGTAACTATTTCAGATCCTCTGTTTCCCTTGTACAATAATTGGATGTCAGATATGGCAGAGATGATGGGTATCCTGATGGCATTTTTTACCTTGCTAATCATCGGTTTATATTGGACACTCAAAGGTAAGTGGGGCAGGCAAGGTCATAACAGTGAGCTTATCTTTCCTTCAGGACAGATTTGCTGTTCATTCTCCAGTAGATCCCCTTTTTAGATTGGTTATTAGACCAAGATTTAACTTATTTCAAGATAGAATACAAGGAGGTCCAACCTATGTGAGCTTAAGTTGTTCACGAATGTACTAATGTTATGTTGTAGGTGGTCCATCTCTGAGCAAGTTTTATACCTATATCAAGTGTGCAATTAAAGTGTAGCCAGAGTTTCTCTTGCCCTGTCTGTCAGTTAATAACACACAGAATCATAGCTGTGATTCTCATATGTATCATGCTCCTCCTGAAATGTGTGGTTCTTTTTTCTGTTAACATTGCTATTCTTAATTCCCCCAAATTAAAGAAATACAGTTGATTCTCCAAGCAATTTTGTGACATTGATTTCTACAGAGATTCATTTATCCTATTTTGTTTGTTATTTCTTTCCTTCATTGAAAATTACTAAGATTTGATCCTACTTGGACATTCTTTAGCTCTGTTCACCCTGAATCCTTGGAAAAATGCCATTTCTCCCTTTCGTTAAGCCAGAGTACCCCAGTTAATAGATTATGAAGTAAGAGATGATTCTTAATTTGTTCTTCAAACTTTTGTTTCTGATATAAATGAGGAATAGTATGCCTTTTATATATGTATTTAAAAAAAATGTCTTGTACTCAGATTATAATTTACAAGGCCATGAGTCACTGTCATTGCTTTGTGACATGATTTCCTTAAATAAGAACTATATTAAATTGAAATTTAATTTCTGGTTTGTATTATTAAATGTTAGAAGATAGAATAAAAGTGTATATGGGATTCCAAGGTAGAAAATTTTTGACCCTAAAGTTTTATACATTCTAAATTATTTCTCACAAGTAAGGGCAAAAATAGTAAAAGACTTTGCACAAGCCCTTTTACTATAAACTCAGAAAATACTTGAAAGAAATATGTCCCTTAAATGGAATTTAAAGGAGAATATATCTTGGTGTGACTCTGTAAGATAAACACTGGATTGCTGCTAACTGCACGGTTGGCAGTTCAAACAGGGTGTCTGTGAGTCAGAACCAACTGACAGCACCCAACAACAATAAGAAATATAAAATAATTACATAAATAGTGATATATGAGAAATAAAGCAATTCACGTAGGGAAGTACCGATTTAAATACAAATAGGTAGTTATGGAGTCTTGGTGTGGCACTGTAGAATAAGCACTGGACTGCTAACAGCAAAGTTGACAGTTCAAACTCACCAGCCACTCCTATAAGGGAACCAACTCAACAGCACACAACAAGGTAGTTACATTATGGTTACAAATTTAATGACTTTTTATAGGAAGGGTTTTTGTAAATTAATTAATAACTTAGGCATTAAGCATCAATAGCTGCTAACATTGCAGAACAGAATGACATATAGAAATTATATTTTTCCCAATGGAAGAACAAAACCTACCTATGAGGAATTCTTGACAGAAACAATTGACCTAATTAAACTGACCTGTTAACCTTTGTATCGTATTTCAATTTATAGGTTATACAAGATCAAGAACATCCAATCAGCAAAATACAGAAATGGAAAAATTGACTTAAAAAATGGACAAGACCAAACAATTTAGCATCTTTGATAAACATTTTTCAAGCTAATAAAATGAAAGAAGAGCCTGCCAATTATGTCAGATGTAGGAGGCACATTAATAGATCACAATATGTGGATGCATTTAGTATTCTGTTGATATAGTGAGCTATATGTTGGGCTGCTAACTGAGAGGGTGATGGCTCAAAATTACCAGCTGCTTTTCAGAAGAAAGGTGAAGCTGTCTATTTTCTGTAAAAATTTACAATCTTGGAAGCGCAAAGAAGCAATTTTACTCTGTCCCACAGGGACATTATGAGTTGAGATCAACTTGATGGCAGTGGGTTTGGAAGTGTTGTATTCATGTTGCAAAAATAATTATTTTCTTTTAGAGGTATTACTGAAGTATTTATGGATGAAATTAGATGGCTGGTATTTGCTTCAAAATAATATGACAAGAGTATGTAGTGGGTGAGGTTTGTTAAAACAAAATTAGCAATGTTAATATTAAAGATGGGTGGTGGGGACAAGGAGTATACTAACATTTTTTTTTTTTTTTGTATAAGTGTAAAGTAGTTTTTCATATTAAAGATTAAAATAGAAAGTACTCAGAATTCTTGAGGATGGGGTGCATGGAAAGGGAAAGAACATAACAGAGTGTCTAAGAGAAAGACATAGCCATAAAAATTAAATTAAAACATAAGTTAATATATTAAACATCATATCAGAAAGACTGGAAAAAGACATACTAAATTGTGTGAGCCATGAAGAAATTAAATACTAGACGTGGCTAAAGAGATAAAATATATTAGAAAGAAGTTAGGACGAATACATTACAGAAAGAGAAAATCCAATATAAAACATATTACAAAGATGGCTTGGTGATCAAAACTCAACTAAAGGAAGAAAAAAATGGTTTTGATAAAAGAAACAAGTATAAACTGCCACAATTTGATGAACTTGGCCTATACTTATGAATGTAAGTACATAAATATAGGCCAAGCTCAAAATACAACCTGAGAGGGAAGGAGTCTTTAAGTCAAGTATAAATCCTATTGCCTCTGTATACAGAGTTGATAGGGATGGACAAGTTGGACACCGGCTACATAAAATGGGGGGCTATAAAGGCATGAAGTGACTGGCTTACAAGTTTTCAAGATGGAGTTTAGTTTCAGAGTGTGCAGGGAAGGCCGAATCCCCACTGAATAGTCATTATCTTTTCTAGATGGGTCTGATGAAAAGATAATGGGGATAAGGGTCTTAAGATTCCATAGTGAGTAATTGTTATCATGACTAATTGCAGCTGTCACAAATCTAAAGGTAGAAGTCCTGTATCAAAAAGGGGGGCAGGGATATTTAATCATACATCCCAGGAACAGAGGACCCTAGGACCTTCAAAGGAGAAGAGCACAAGTGAAATGTGGGACCCTATCCAGAGAAGCAGCAACACCAGAAATGGAGGCAGAGATGAGGACATGGAGAAATAGAGTAGCTGAGGACTCTAGATTCATGGAAAGAGAAAGGGGGTGTGCTTGTGGCCAGGAGGCAGGCTTTCAGAATGTGCTCTTTAGTTGTTTAAATGATTATATATCCCTGAGTGTTTTGTGTACATCCACAAAAACAAAACAAACAAACAATCAAAAAAGGAAATAGAAGCAAGTACTGTTGAATGATGATGCATGGAGGAGATTGTAATCCTTGCAAAGAAACAATGAGTGTAAAACTGATATTCTCCCATGTAAACTATCACTCAATTCAGGAGCTCACACTCTTGGGTTACTATGTGCCCATCCTAATTATCCAGGTACCAAATACCCAACAAGTAGGAGCAACCCCTCTAACCACCTCTCCTCCTCCATGGCTTGCATCAGGAGCATCTTAGTTCTCAAAGCAAAATTTCTGCTCTTTAAAGAGGCCTTTTACAGCAGATTTGTCCAATGCATTTAGGACCCTGATGATGTAGTGGATTAGTAACATTGGGCTGCTAACTGAAAGGTCAGCGGTTCAAAGCCATCAGCTGTTCATTTGATTTCTTGAGTCCTGCTTCCATGAGCATTGGTTGTGGATCTAAGTAAAATGAACTCCTTGACAACTTCAATATTTTCTCTTTGTTCAATATTATCATGGTTATTTATTGGTCCAGTTGTGAGGAGTTCTTAAAAATTCTTTGTATTGAACTGTAATCCATACTGGTCTGTATTCTTTGATTTCATCAGTAAGTACTTCAAACCTTCTTCACTTTCAGCAACCAAGTGTGTGACATCTGCATACTTAAAGTTACTAATGAGTCTTTGTCCAATCTTAATGCCACATTCTTCATGCAGTCCAGCTTCTGATTTTGTGCTCAATAAACAGATTGAATAAGTATGGTGAAAGGATACAACCCTGATGCTCACTTTTCCTGATTTTAAACCATTCTCTATCCCTTGTTCTGTTTGAACATCTGCTCCTTACTCTATGTACAGGTTGCACATAAACACCATTAAGTGTTATGGTATTACCATTCTTTGATATGCTATCCATAGTTATGTTATGATCCTCAAAGGTTTTGCATAGTTAATAAAGCACAAGTAAGCAACTTGCTGGTTTTCTCTGCTTTCATGCCAAATCTATCTAATAACAGCCATGATATGTCTTGTTGCAAGTTCGCTTTTGAATCTGGCTTGACATTCTGGAGGCGCTCTGTAGATGCACTGCTGCAACCAGTTTTGAACTATCTTGTTATGCATGCTATAACATAAATAAATCTTGAAAACAGGATTAGTGAAATAAATCAGACTCAAAAGCAAAATATTGTATATCACTCATGTATGAAAAATCTAGAATAAGCAAATGAAGAGACAAAAGGTTGAGGGGAATGATGTTGACTTTCTGTTACAGTGATGGAAAACTTTTAGCAATGGATAATTGTGATATTATATACTTACATATGGTTAAAATGATGAGTGTCATGTGGTATGTGTATATATATATCCGTATTAAATTTTAGCTGAAGTCTCCATCCTATCTTATTGTGACATCTCTCTGTGCTCTTCTGCAGGTGAGTCGGTGCTCATGTCTCATCTACTCTTGGAGGGGCCTCTTGTTCCTTAGATTGCAGGCCACTGGTTTGCCCCTAGATCTCAGTAGGAATCAGGAAAACATTGGATTTTGTTGATTATCCCTGCTAGGTTTGAAATGATACCCTTTCTCTCTTTCTAGATTCCAAGCAGAAGTCAGAAATTCTCAACACTATATTTGGATGAATTGAAGTTTTGGATTTTGATGAGGGCTTATCACTGTTTTTCTTTTATGGTTATTGCTTTATGTGACCTATGTCAGGGATTTTTTAATGTTATATAAACATTTTGTTTGCATCAGGTCTGTTAACTACATCAGAACCCTGACTCTGTAAACAGGGACAGAAGAAAAATCTTCTTATTATCTCATACAGCATGTGGAGAGATAATATATGCAGTCACTTTTCATTCACAAGACTGAGTATGTTATTTCATAATAAAGCAACCATATACTTAGATTAATGGGTCACTGAACATTACAACTAAAAACACTTAGAAATCATTTCCAACACTCAGTTGAGAAAAACTCCATTATACTGTCTCTAAGAATTCTTAGCATCACAAGTCCTGAAAACTCCTATGATAGAAAATTTAT